GACGAGGCTTAGCTTTACTGATTTGCCTTATTTATAGAAACAAATAACACTTTTATACACAAAATCTCCTAAATTCTGAAGGCAAACTAAACTTTGTACCTTATTTTGTTTTACTTTCTTCCCCTACTTGTACAAGTACAATACCTTAGGCAGAAAAATGTGTCTTCTGAAAAGCATATTCATAAGAATTGAGAAGTCCCTGCACACCTTTCATTATAATGGATGATAATGGTCCAGCACTGCTCTTCTCCCACACTTTTTATTCATGCTTTTTCTGTCTCCCGCTGGTAGCCTGTTAACGAGCACCAGTGAGCTAGAAATAAAGATGGTCTGGCTGTGCTTCTCACATTACTGAAAAACAATGAGGCAGGAGACTGACTGCACTCCAAAACCTTAAGGATAAAGTTCAAGTGCTTGACCTTTCTCTGATTGCTTGTTTTCTGCTTTGTCTGTCTTCCCAGTAGTTCTAACTGGCTGCAGTGTATGCATTTATATTGTAGGAACATGAATCCAGTCACATAGTGAAGACTTGCTGGAAAAAGAAAAAGAAGTAATTTTAATAACTCATTGAATTTTAAAGACTTTGAGGTTATCTGTCTTGAGTTGTTTGAGTGCTGATGTGGATGTGGTCTCAGTGACCGGAGGAAGAACTGGGTACTGTGTAAACAGAGAGAGTGTCTCAACACTGTTGTACTTCTTAAAGGGAATTTTTTTATCTGTTGATTCATCTTCAACCTCTTCTTTTTTTTTTTACTCCCTCTTCCTTTGCTAAGTGTGCGACTTTCTGAGAAAAGTACTGAACTTTTCTATTGAGCTCCTTGTGGGTCCTCTACAAATGTCATCAAGAATATCTTGCAGTCGAAAAGTAAGTCTCAAAACTCTGAGATTTCTGTAAGAATACCAGTGTGTCTTAAAAAGTTATGCTTGAGATGGCAGGTTAGTGGCAATTATTTACACTTCATTTAAAACATTTAAATCAAGCAGAATCTTTAACAAACACTCACCAGGCATGTTAATATGTCCATCTCGCCAGTTTGCACCACAAATCTGGAACAAATTATTGGAAAACTGGAAAACAGCCGAAACACTGAGTTCCTTTTAAATCAAGTCTAAAAACCCACCTGTTTGCTTTTGAAACAATATAAATGAAACATTAATCAACAATTTGCTGTGTAACAATTGCAATTACAATGCCAATACAATGTGACCGTGTTCTATATCTTTGTAGTTTTTCTGTGTGTCTGTTTTTTATGATATAAAGCACTTTGAACTGCTTTGTTGCTGAAATGTGCAACACAAATAAACTTGATTAATTGATTGATTTGAATTTTCGAACTGCCATCTTTTTTTTGCAGCAATAATTCACTGAGGTGTTGGAAATGTTTCTCAGATTTATGTCCATATTGATATGGCATATTTGTAAGCTGCATAAAAACAATGTGACTTTTTCATCTGTGGGACCAGTTCCTTTGTTTTCCTCATTTTGATCAGAAGGTAGTTCTGTCCATTGCCTGTACTCTGAGGCAGCGTCCCTTTCCACCATGGCAGAAGATCACACATAACTCCAGGTTCAGCATCTTGTCCTGGATTTGACAGTAAATTTTAGAATTCATTTTAAGATTTTAATCTTCACTTAGCGCTTACTTCCTGGTTCCAGCCCCCCTGTATATTCCTGACCTGCTGGAACCTCATTCTTTTTCCTGTGTACTGGTGTCCACTTGTCAGAATTTATTGGTATCCCCGTTCACTCCATTTAAAACTCATGGAGACTGTATCTTTCAGGCAGCTGCACCAAGATGGTGTAAGTCACGTCCACTCCTTTTGCTTTACTCACTCTCTCTTTTAAAAAGCAACTGCAGACAGAAACACTTTAAATTAATGAACTTGATGTTTTATTTTGTATCATTGTGTTTTGTCTGTTTTTCAGGCTGTTTTACCCATGAAGCACTTCATAATTTTTATCTGTAAAAGTTGCTGTATAACTGAAATTTACTTACCACTTATTGCTGACTTATCAAAGAACTTCTGAAGATGACAGCCTGGGGAGTTGAAGGAGAGATTTGCAATGTAGATGCTGAAGAGGAAAGTTTTAAGTCACTTCTTGCATTTTTACACATGGTAGTCAAGTAGACAGCTAATTACGGCACTGAGTCTTGTCAAGTGGTTTTCAGACCTGGCGTTGCCGAGGCTTTGGCTCATGATTTATCATGACCAGGACAAAGCTTTTTCGATGATGACTCATATTCTGCCAGAGTTCATTTTCTACGGTTGCAAGAACTAAGGTCGTATATTTTTGTCATTCAAGCACTCACTGGTGGTGTCTTTTTGCTGGTATTTATATTTGAAACTTATAGCTGACACTTGGCAGGAGATCTCTTTGAAAGCTCCTCTTTCTGACAGTTGTGGGTCCTTTTGTTCCTCATAGGTGTGGGTTTCGTTAGGTTCTCAAAAAACAAAGTGTCAGTCAGGAGTTCATACCAAGTCTATTTTCTGTACTCAAGGAATTTTCCCAGGCACACGAGAAAACTCAGTGTGAACCATCTGGCTTTTTTTTAATTCCCCTGAACTGGTAAAAACCCACAACAGTCCTTTAGAGGAAGGACAAGATAAATTGCCTTCTGCTTCACTCCAAGAGTCGTTAATTATTCAAGAAACACAAATCAAATCCAGACCAAATGCCTGAGCTGCAGACTTCCTGCTTGTTATTGAGATACGGCAGCGTAGTCGCTTGACTTTTAGTTGTTTTTCTGGTGCGTCTCTCTTCCAGCTTAATGTCCACTGAATCTGTGAAGATGCACAGCAAAAAAAAATTATGATAATTTCTTAAAGTATTTTGTTTGAAATTTGTTTTTCTGTTTAAAAATGTCTTAATTGATAGAACCAAGTCATTTGCACAGCTTTACACGCTTAAATAAAGTAGGATTTTCCTTTGCATTTTGGGTATGTTGTCTATGTAGTGAAAAAACGGGTCACATTTTTTTGCATTTCCATCTGCTATCCGTGAGTGCTCTCATCCTTTGCATCTGCCCACTCCTGAAACACACACTCACGGGTTCAACATGCAAAGCAGACGAGTCAGTGGGGAGGGTGTAACCAAAATAAACATGGCAGGTGTTACTGTACACAGCCAGCGGGTACTTCTTACTTTACTGTTTCTAGTAGTAGGAAGGTTGACGATGATGAGTGGGTTTTACACGCTGCAGCTTTACATAGGCTCCTACTCTGCTCTGCTATTTGTTCAGACGCACAGAGGAGTATTAATTCTATTTTTGGTTTGGCATCATGCTTCATCTGATGCTGTCTTTTCTCCTAGGATGCAGGAGTGTTTTAACATTATAAATATTTATACCCTGTGAAAGGACACCTTGTTTTCCGAAGTGTCCAAATTGATTGCTCCTTGCAATATTGGACCCCTGAATCTGTACTATATTTAGACCGATTATACATTTTAAATCAAATTCTGATTTCATTCACTACTGGCCAGTTTCCTATGGTAGCAGCCAAGTTGGCTCTTCATTGGGAATATTGGCTTTTGGAGGACTCTAAATAATTGCATCTGTTGCAAAGACCTGTACAGCATAAGATATGCACTGCTTAAGAAGAAATAAGAGTACTTAGGTGAACTAAAATAATAAGTTAGTGATGTCAGGGATATTATCACATACCTATTTGTAGTAGTCATTTCACTAATAGCTGGGTTGACATGAAAAGCTCTCGATTAACCTGTCCGTCTAAATTTTAGCTTTCAATTGGAATTAGCTGCGTCTATTGGAGATGTTTGCTCAACCTCAGAGAACGGAGAAGATCTCGATGATCTTAGGTTTTTCTTAGTAATAAACTTGTGTCAGTGGTTGCTATATGCCAACTATTTGTATTTCTATCCTGAAAGTTTTGACTTTGATCATAAAAAACTGTTTTTTGTTGTTTTTTTTTTTTTGCATGAACTCTGTCTTAGACCAGAGGAAAGAATCATTCTCATTAGGAGCTCCTAGTGGGCCTATAGATACAATCGATTTAAATCTTTAGAGTTCTATGTTTAAGATGTAGATGTTTCTGTTTAGTTTAAGATAAAACCTGTAAAAACACAGAGATCTAACATTAATACGAAGTTAGCTTAGCTTAGTATGAGCAGAGTTCAACTCAGGTCACCCTAAAGAGTTGTGATGACAGACAGTATCTTCCCAGTAAATACTGGTGTTCTTTTAATGTAAGTGTAAAACACTCTTGGTGGCGATCAAATCAGCTGATTGGGATTTTAAGAGATTTACAAGCACTCCTTAATGTTTAAAAAAAAACTGTTGATTAAAAATAAAAACGGAGTTTATAGGACACCTATAGGACATCATGTCTATGATCCTCCACACAAACATTTATGATGACGGGTTGACACGACACTGTGAAAAAACAAATGGGATGTGACTTAAGCCCTGGCTCTACCACCAGCTCCAGTTAATCACTGAAATCCCTGCTGGTTTCAAGGCTTGAGTTCTGCTGCAATAAAAATAAAAAAAATAAAAAATAAGCAATTCTTTCACTTTAATCCTCATATGTACAAGTTTGAGACATGGGGGATTTATTATATTTTAAATATAATATTTGAGGTCTGATGAGTGGTTGAGCATTTCAGCACAGCTAAGTTCAAGTAGATTCTGCTTGAAAGAAATATTATTTTGTGAGATTTTATTAAAGCCCAAGATACATAAGGTAGTACAGAATTGTGTAATTACACATCAAATGTCTGTGCAAAAAGACTTTTCAAAGGTCGCAAGATATTTTAACAAAGATCAAATCCCCCACATCTTCCTGAAGGTGTTAAGTCCAATTAATAATCATAATATGAAACTATATAGACACATTTATTTTGATTAGATTGATTCTGTCACACCCACTGCTCTTGTCAAGCCACACTATTGAGTCCGCCCTTTTTAATTGTGTGCCAAAACTCAGACACCCTGCTAATGAATACACACTGCTCCTTCTGGTCTTCTTTCTTCCTTCAGCGGCCATTTTGGATGACCAGTCTGTGTGTGGTCGTGGTGAGCGTCTGGCTCTGGCTCTGGCCAGGGAGAACATTAACAATCAGATGGAGGATTCAGCCCAGGCCAGGGTGGAGGTGGATGTCTACGAGCTGCAGAAGGATTCCCAGTACGACACCACCGACACCAGTAAGCCCTGTCACTCTCTGATGCAGGTGACATGTTTGTACATGTGAAGCCATTCCTCGAGAGCCATGAGAAAATCAGGTTCCTTTCAGAAGTTTGGCTTACACATTGATCTTTCTAATCTCTTGAAATTGTTATTTTCTATAATAAGGCAGAATTGTGGCATGTCTTAGGTGGATAAAGAGGCCGGAGGTATTTTGTTACTGTAGATAAATATATGATACATAAGGCAAATATATAAAACCATTTTTGTTTTTGTTTTGTTTTGATTTTTTATCTAACAATTCAAAGTTAGTTTGGTGAAAAAAAATGATCGATCCGGTGCTGTAAATCGCAGAATACAGAGTCCAGTAATTCTCACCATCTCTTCATAGCTGTGTTTCAGCTGAATACTTCATGTTAAACATGCTTAAGTTTCATCCAAGACCGTTTTATGTGACTAAGTTCAATGTAACTGATTTCATTGAGAAAGATTAGTTAAATGAAAGTAATCATCCTTTTGTTTTTGTTTAAAAATAGCAAACGTAATACAAAGCATACTCTACTCAGAGCAGCTGCTATGTCAGGTTGAAGCTATTTATTGTGAACTGGTGCTATATAAATAAACTGAAGTGAATTTAATTAACTGGCTGTTGTAATATTAGACACTGACAGAGTAATTTGGCTGGAGGTGTAGGGAAAGGGAAAGAAAGCCTCCAGTGAAGTCGGGAAATGTTATGTAAGGCAAAATAGATATTATACAAAACAGATGTTTTCTTTAAACTTTGCTCTGAGGCTTACAAGCTTCCCTCTTTTTTACTGGAACAATGATCATTTAGACAAAAACTTAAATTTTAGCTCCTTCAGACTACGGGACATGTCTCCGAAAATGACTTTGCACCACATTTTGCATCACTACATGAGACACAGAATGATAACAGGACATTCCCCAGCCCTTTATACTTGTAATGCTTAACCGGGTTAACTTGGGACCTTTGGTAATTGTTTACAAGTATTGATTAGGTCCACAGTTCTTGGTTGGTTTCTTTTGATTTCCCCTTGATGTAACACCAATGTTTGAAATGTTGCCTTTATTTAACTTTAATGTTTTGAACATACACATAAAAAAGTTATATAAAAAAAAAAAAATTTGAAATATTTTTAAAGACGTAAAAATCATTGAATGGGCAAACTTTTTAATTTGAAAAAAATTAGACCATCCAAATATTTCTTACAAATATTTATAATCCTTATTTAGTAAACAGGAGAATCTTAGCCTAATTTATTTATAGAAATTGCTAAAAATGCTAATGTATTTGTATAGAGTGTATGCAATTATTTTCCAGCTTTTTGTGGAACTAGTATTTTTGTTAAGGCTTGCATTTAAATTCATGAATTGGCCCTAAGTATGAATGCTGCATAAAATTACTATAAAAAAATTCTGTCTTGGAGATATTTACCTTCCTCTGAGCTAAATGAGATTTACAAAGTACATTTTTAGTTTAAATCAAATTCACTGTCCATGTTGACTGCGTCCAGGTGGTAATCAGGACATTAAAGAACAAGTCATGGGGACAGAAGGACGCATGGCTCGTGGCGATGTTTCACCATTTCAAGGTGTAGAGCGTTGGTGTGAAGCGAGGTCGTGGCGACCTCAAAGCTTGCAGCATTCTGAATGAGCAGCTGCTGATGATGTTTATTGATTATGAACTGCCAGCGGTATGAGAGGAGACTTCCCAGAGGACAGGCAGTTAGGTTTCCTTTCAGAGTGGAGCACATAGACACACACTGACTGGTCCAAAACGACACAACATGTGCAGGGGAAACCTGGCTAATTAAACCAGAATATTGAAAGTTCTCCAGCTGTCGGTGTTACCTGGGAGCTTGAGTTCATACCTGCAGTAAAGTTGGTACGTTGGTTTAAAAATATAGAACTAAAGCTTGATAAAGAGTAAGATAAACATCACATACCTATGATGCCTCATGCGGATAATAACTGAGTCCTTTTTAGATTAAATGTCAACATTATTTATTTTTCTGGCTTAGGTGCAGCTTTACATTAATATGCAATTTTTATTCTAAGAAAGCAACCCATCCACCAAATAACATTACATGAAAGAAAAGTTAGATTGGGATAATAGACCTAGATTATTTTTGTAGGTTTATTGTGTCAATAATAAGAAGGAAGATGGTAACATTTTACCCACAGTTTATATTTTTTCTGTATTCACTATAATATTATAGTTAGAATGGCCACAGCGATGATATTCAAGTTATTCAAGATATTCACGTTAACTTTAATTGAACACTGACCTCTGTTTCTGCATCCTTTGTCCCCATTAGTGTGCCAGATCCTCCCTAAGGGCGTGGTCTCAGTGATCGGCCCTGCCTCCAGTCCCGCCTCAGGGTCCACCATCAGTCACATCTGTGGGGAGAAAGAGGTGAGCCATATCTAGCCTCAAGCCATCTGATTATGTCGGTGTATGAAGCTTCACGGGCCTATCAACTTAGAGCAGAGACTCAATCAATCCAAACAGATTGTTTCTCAATGTCAGGAAGTCGGTTCTATTTTCTTCAGAAAGTGTTTGGAAAACCATCCATAGCAAAGAGACCTGCATGTCTTCTGTCCAGTTTCATCCTCTGCATGGAAGGTTGTGTGTTCGGTAGTTTCAAACTCACTTAACACAGGTTAAAATGAATTAATTAACTCCAACATGAACAGATTCTTGTTCATTTATCATGGTTTGTATAAATTAACACAGCAGTATATTGGTTCTGACATAATTTCTAAATTAGCACAAGGATTATGCTACTGCCTGTTTTCCATTTGATTATCTCCTGTTGTCTTTGCTCGCATAAAATGTGTTTTATGATAAAACAGCTGCTATCGTTCACATATTTTAATAGTTTCATCAAAAGCAATTAAATTGTGACTGAAAAGCGCTCCACGCTTTAGTGGACCAGCAACGTTTCTGTGGTGACCTTTGACCCTCATTAAGTCAGCGCTGATGGGATTTGGTATTGGTTTCATTTTGTGGTCTATAAAACTATTATTTTACAATTCAACACACAGAGTAATACCAAATAACATACTTACATTCAAAATTACTTGGATAAAAGCATTTTTTTCTTGCACATGTGTTGATAATGAAATCAGAATACACTCAAGTCATCTGCATGTGATTTTGGTCATATAGGAGTTAACCAACTATGGCATTCTTCCCCAACAAAATATTGATTCTTTTTAAACAAACTAGCAGATAAACTCTCCAGTCACATGAATAAAACACATCCCTGGTAAATTTACTGCTTGATTCTTGAAGAAGAGTTCAAAGCCAGACGTTTTCTGCTTGCATGTTTCTTCTGACTGTAAGTAATATAAACACCTCAAAGTGCTAACTAGAATCTGACAGAGGAAGTGTGAGGAAAGCTCAAATATTAGGGTAATGGCAAGGAGGCCCTCCAATCTTGAATATCGTCACCAAAGATAAACTAAAAAAATAAGGAAAGATGCAGCAGCTGGAAAAGCTTCATCACTGCAATCCCAATCAGATCAAAACTTTTTGGTTTGTAGCAATTTAAAAGTAAAATTTCCAGGAGTCTTAATTACTTTGGTCACACGGTAAGTGGATAAGTGCACAATTTGTCCTGATTTCTAACAGCCCATTTTGGCTCTTTATAAAAACCAAGATTAGATTTTCAGCAAACTTTATAATTATCCTCATCTACTGTGTTTTTAATAACAATAATAAACGGATGAATTCATGTTCACAGTGAATCCACATCGCCACAATCTCACTCTGTATTTCCAGCCTGTAGCCATCGTCTTATCCTGAACCCTGTACCTGACATGTCTCGTACTTCTGGGTTCTAAGTTTCTTCTGTACATTATGTTTTACCGATCAGAGCAAAGCCCTGTTGAGTTAATTACAGCTTAGCTTTTAAATTGCTGTGGGTGTTAGTCAAGGCTAAAGCTCAGACATTTCTCCTGTCACTACATTCATCATTCATTACTGTAGTGAATCGTTTTTTCATCTCTCATTAATTTCTCAGTTTAATACAAACCTTCAGGTCACATCAGCCATGCTCTGGTATTTATACTATAAGATATGTAATTTAAAATGTTCGTCTATGAAGAAATGATCTTACCTGTAGTCTTTGAGTTTTCTTTTTCTTGGTTCTGCCTTTTTGAGGACACACGCTACTTACAAATTTCCTTCTGAGATGGATATTCTTTATTTGGAACAAATGTCTATGAAGTAATAAAAAACAAGAATACATATCCACACGTACCTACACCTCCAGATAAACACAGACAAGAAAACAAAAATGATGTTTTGCAACATAATTTTCAAAGACATTTTAACTGCTTCTTTGAAAAGTGAGAAGAAGTTTCTGTTTTTGTCTCTTCTTCTTTTCAAAACCAAAATAGCAGGAAAGATAAATGTGTTCTGCAGCACTTTTCAATGTTTTATTTACTTTTTAAAGCCTAGGCTTTGGTGTTCAGATTTCCTTCCTGACAGTGGATTAAGACAGAATTGCCTGTAAGTGATGACATATGATTTTGGTTGCTGTGACCTTCATTTCACTTCTCGCTTTTGCTTTCCTCCCTTCTATGTATTTCCTTCCTCATGCACAGTGTTTAGGTCTTCAGCTTGTTGCACAGCTTCTCTGTACTTCTCTCTTTGCTTTGTCTTCATCTGTCTGGATTCAGATTCCTCATGTGAAGATCGGCCCGGAAGAAACCCCAAAACTGCCATACCTGCGCTTCGCCTCGGTGACTCTCTACCCGAGTAACGAAGACCTCAGCCTGGCCATCGGATCCATCCTGCAGTCCTTTGGCTACCCAACAGCTAGCCTCATTTGTGCTAAAGCAGAGTGTGAGTTCTTTAGCAATACCCTTTTGTCTGTTTCTTATAATCCAGTCTCATTTAATTTATGACTAAAAACAACTCATTTAAGGCAACTGTGGATTTTCTGGTAATTGCATAAGTTGAATTTGAGTTTCTGGATTGTTCCTCTTATTCCTATCTCTGCTTTTCTTTCTGTCTGTTTTCTGCCACTGTGCTGGATTTAGGTGCTTGTGCTGAGCAAGTGCTTTGCATCCATCAAGGTTTTTGGTTTTCAAAGCAGTTGCTATTTCAAACTCTTTAGAGTTCACTGATGTGTCCAGACGATACGTTTATTGTGAGCTTAGGGTTTGCCAAACCTGCTGAGGCGATGAATCTGAAAGACCTTTGGAGATTTACTGTCCTGTCTGGCAGCTGGAATGTGTCCAGAAGGTTCTTCAAATCCTTACAGTCAGAGCTGATGTGAACTTGATTTGTTGCAGCACATCCTCCAGCATGATGTGGCCACTTCATGATTTGGCTCAGCTTGGACCAAAGTTGTCTTCTGACTCAGAGCAATGAGGGATTATGGAAGAAAAATTTGGACTTCGGAATTATTTACCAAAAAGTGACATACACTGGTATACTTTTTATACTTGCTTTTACTTTTTTATATCTAATTTCCTGTGTAAATGTGTTCCTACCAATGTCTCTTCAAATATCTTTAAACAACTTTAAAACAACAAAAAAACAATCATGTTAATTATTTACTAGTAAGACAGCAAATACTCACAGACATAAAGAAGGAACAAAATTTTAAAACTGTTTTGAAAGCTAGTCCATGTCTGATTTCTAAGTCTAATGACAATGGTTGCCATATGTTATAATAACGGGAAGCTTCCTAACGTTTTCATAATTGACTGCCAATTTAGAGGGCCAGCTGTTTTAATGCTTCAGAGTCGTTTAAAGGAAAAAGGCATTTCATAGAACTGATGCAAACATCTGTCACTGAAGAGCCAAACTATGATTCCCAGAGTCAAAATCCATTAGATTCCTGGATTTTAAAAAAATTGTTTTTGCAATCAGAGTTATCATGCAATTCTTAAGTTCAGAATTCACTTGTTTTTACTGATTATGACTATTTAAAGTTGGACAATTCTTGTCTTTAATGAAAAAAAAAAAAAAAATATATATATATATATATATATATATATATATATATA